AAATTATCATTTCATTTCTTTAATTTGTCAATTTCACCGTTGAGTTATAAGTTTAAACCATTATATCTAGCTCTTAGAGAAACAAATCAACGTATACATTATGTTATATTGTAATCGATCTTCCGTAGGCATATAAAGGAGTTTAAATTAGCTCCACCTTTAACAGCTGCTACATTAAAGTCGTGTATACATGCATGCAGAACCCATTATAAAACACTTACATAATGAATATGATTCTGAAATGAAATTCTGCATAATGCGTCATTAAAGACACTTTTGGGAATTAAAGTACTTTTTGATGCTTATACTTTAGTTGAACCTAAGTAGAATTGAGAATGCTAATAGAATATTATACTTGTTACTAAAATATCTCACTCATCTCCGTCCTCTCTTCATTATGGCCACAGCAGCTTTATCCCCCCACCTTCCCCCCTCTTCCCCCTCAAATCCATCTTTGCAGAAAACACCATTGCTTTATCGTTACCAAAAAACCAAGAGCACATGCCGTGTTTGTGTGTGAAAACAGTCCTGTTGTATGTGTTCGTTTATCACGTTTAGTAATCATGCGTGCAGATAAGCCTTTCAGGCAGACTGGCAGATGGGCTTTGTGTGAAATTACTTTTTCTTTTTCTTCCCAATAACTTCAAATAATATGTTCCATTTCTCTTCTTCTCTTTCGCTAACACTTGCACACATTGCTTCTCTTTCACACTCACACACTCTCTCTCCCGGACACAAATCGCTTTACTCTCTCACCCTTTATGTTCGATCAATCTCCACCCTGTCTCTTCCGACCAGCAGCCAATAGTGGAGCTGATGGTGTAAAGGCCATTTTCTGTGAATCGGAGCGTTGTTGTGTCTCTCCCATTAGATATTCATGAGCTCCGCTGCCTCAGGTCCGTATACCTGGGTTAGTGCCGGGTGCAGATGCAGTCGCTGGCTGAATGTGGATTAACGAGAGTGTCACGTTTAATACAGGCCTGTGACGCTGCAGGAGATGGAGACAGAGCGCTTGTTCATCTCATCGACAGACTAAAGCAAAAGCAGGTCTTGACCCGCGCCAATTTGTTTTGTGCAGCTAAAACAGAAGATAGATTAGCCGTGTCTGTGCATGCACTTCTTTGTGTGTGCACTTGTTGATATTACTGCACCTGTGCGAGGACAGTATTTCTCAGCGCTCACCCTTTGGCATCATGTCCATAAACGCAGATATAAATAATAAAAGGAAAGAAATCAACAGAGGAATGAAATGAAGGAGAGAATGAATAAAAGTGCTGACTGCGTGGGGAGGGGGCGTGATGGAACGCTTAATCATCGGCCCTCGATGCTAAATGACAGCATGAGAGAGAGAGAGAGAGAGGGGTGAGATGGAGATGACGTGGCAGCGCGCTTAGGTGGAGAAGCAAAGAGAAGAGGGAGGGTCAGAGCTCAAAGAGGAGGAGGAGGAATCGAAGAGAAGCGAGAGGGCATTCGATGAAGTGAGGGGGAAAGAGAGATGGAGTGAGGAGAGGGGGGGGGCGGTGTATGCACTAACCTGAAGTCACTCCTCTTTCTTTTATCTGTAGCTCAACTGCACTAAAAAGGAAAAGAAGTACAGAATACCAATGCCTCTATACATTTTGCCTTTTTTTAAGTAGCTTACTAGCATATTTTAAATCCACTAGCTTGTGTAATGACTGAGGGAAACCTGCAAGATCTACCTAACATTGCTTTGCTCTTTCCTCACACACTCATATGAACACACACACACACGCACGCACGCACGCAAGACTCAAGGATGAAACTCTGAACTTTGAATTCCTAGCTAGCTTTGAAGTCTTCAAACATCTCTCTCTCTCTCTTTCACCCTCTCTTGTCCCTCACCCATAATGTGCTTAAAGGGGAGAGGGCTTCTCCCAGCTACAGCTCTCTCTCTCTCTCTCCCATGACCATTCCCCAGGGGGACCCTATCCTCTGTGGGTTGTTATCTATGTAGATACTACATCTGAGAGAAGTTTGAAGGAAGAGGTAGGCGAGGTTAGGTGTCTGCTCTTTCTTGAATCCGATGCATGGCCATGCTGTTTACCGAGACACTTGGTGAACAATTTGTAACTCAGTCGAATAATATCCTGCTTTATATTGTGTCTAAAGCGCTTCAATCGAGTTTATAGATTTTTATCTTCACAGTCTACTTTATATTTTCTACTTTTTAATGCTGTTTTAATTCTATTTTGAGAAGTTTAATTTCTTGAATTGTTTATTTCTACCCTTTAATTTCCACTTATGTGTAATGCTTTGTTTAGTTTTTTATGCTGCTGCAACGCAAGCATTCCCCAATTTGGGATCAATAAAGTACCTCTTATCCAAATGAATCTTACTTTATCAAAAGAAGTGAATTCAAGCCATTCATTCCCCTTCTCTTTTCTCAATCTGCCAGAAGCAATCTCCAAATAGCATTACGGAGAATTTGACCAAGAAACAGAAAAGAAACCGAGTCGTTGTGTAATCACATTCGGACTGTTTTATTTAAAGTCCAGTGATTCACAAACTCACACATAGGTTCACACGGTGTTTGTGTATCTACCCTGACATGAACACAGGTTATGCAGAGTTTAAATGAGGTGTTCTGTCTCTTTGCATTATGTGCTGATGACTGTGTTGTTTGTTTGAACTTTTTCTTTTTCTCTTGAGCCAAGGCTATGAAACAGTTCAGTTCCTCCTGAAAGCTTCACATTCCCCACTGGAGTTCACTTGTGGAGGTTTGTGCGCTCAGTCCTGTCGTGAATATCACTGCGATGGCCTGCAGTTTTCTTCCAGATATCAGTAGAAAGCTGGAGGTATAGCTAGAAGCATGAGGTATGCCTGCTGTTAGAACAACTTCAATCCGGCGTCATCCTTACTTGATGTGGAAGGAAAACAACGAGAAAGTAATGACTGAGTCGCCCACCACTCCCCTTGGTAAACTGGAACAAGTACTGCTATTAATGACTTTATGGGGAATATGACAAAAGTAGATCCGCAAAGAAGTTCTCCTCAAAGATTATGTGAAAAAAGATATTTTGAATCTCTTAAACCACCTTTGCAAGTGTCTCATAAATGTTTTACCCAAAATAAATCTAAAAATAAAACACTCACAACTCACAGATACCCTGAGCAATTGAAAAGCACTGAATTATTCTGGAAACAATGAGCATGCCTCAAACACTTCAGGGCTGTCTTAGTCATTATCAGTCGACTTGTTTGCTTGTACCGGAGATATCTTAGCTGGGATTGGTACGTGTCTCATCTTCTATGTGCGCCTATATTTGTGCTTAAGCTCTTGCATATGTTTAAAGCCTGAAAGTAAATAAACACTGAGAAAATAGTCATATTGTATCCTGGCAAGGACATCTGTCAGTCTCATTGAATTCATGCGATTCTGTAAAAGAAACGTTTACACAGACAGTCTGCCCTTCAAATGGTGTGTCACTGTGCTGCCCTTGTCTGAGGAGGGGTGGAGGAGGGAGGAGGGGGGGGAGGAAGAAAAGGAGGGTGAGGGAGAAGACGGAGACATGGTGTGTGTTGCAGTTGGTGGCAGATGTTGTCACTGTGGAAAGGAGGAAGTAAACATCCACATTTACACACACACATGCTTGCGTTCCCCGAGCATATGGACTCATGCACAGTGCGACATAAGCACGCGCACACGCACACACACACACACACACACACACACACACACACACACACACACACACACACACACACACACACACACACACACACACACACACACACACACACACACACACACACACAGGGATGAACACAGGACTATATACACCCTAAAATGCTTCCCACGTACCCAGCAACAACAAATGAGTTGAAGTCTGTGGAGAAAAGTGCAGAGGCACAACAGCAGTGAATGAGCAGCAGGTCAGATGAGTGAAACTTCAGTGATTTGCGCCCCCTCAGGTCAGTGGCATAGCCAGAGGACATAACATGCACTCCTTTTGAATGGAGAGCAATGTTTTAGTCCAGCTCAAAATCAATGCTGCGGGGTGGGGATAAAAAGGGAATGGAAGTGAGCACCAGCGAGGAAAGTGGAGACTGATGAAGGCAGAATTTTATAAAAGACTTTGTGACAGAGTTGAGAGATTACGGTGAGGATGGACACTGGACGTGCTTCTGGTTCCTGCCTGAATTCTTTTTTGGCACCAGTATAATAGGGAAGGTATAAATACTCATCTCCAGGACTGACGTCAGTGTTTCCCTGAGGGTTTGATTCCACAGTCTTCAGATTGGTTTTCCTTTGTGTGGTGATGTCAGACAGTCAGAACCTGGCACCTTTTCAGGTGTAACTTTGCAGTTCCACTCTCTGACTCGGAGTGTTGTTCATGTTGAATTATCTCGTTCACTCTGGTCTATTTTAAAGTCTTACATCCACCAGATTTGGGTTTTGATATGGCGTACATATGAGAGTTTTTAAGAGTAGCTTACATTTTAATTAGCAAAAGGTGGGAAACCATTAGTAGCTCAGAGCCTTAAACATGGAGATTACATTTAAAATGCAGGTAAGGGGAAACACCATCCAAGTATAATATGAACTTAACCACTGACATGTGACCTCAGTGTCTCCGGCAAAGTTTAAAATGAGGGTTGCAAGATGTAATAGATAGATGATCAAGTAAATTCACATGTTCTACTTGTTAATCTGGCTTGAATACTATTTCCGATGAATGAAACCTTTGGAAGCCGAAAGCTGGCCACATTGTGAGCCTCAGGATCTCTGAACAAATTCTACAGGGAAACACAAAAGTCATGTTTCTGTTTAAGATGCTACACCTTCTCTGCCAACTTTCCTGCTCCCTGTGCATTCCCCTGCTGCACTTTCACTTTTCACCTGCACTTATTTGCTCAGATGACCTTCTCCCTCTCTCTCCCTCCTGTCCCCCCCTCTCCTCCCCCCACCACCTTTACCTCTGTCTGGTCTGCCGGGCTGTCACGGTGATATCCTGCGGTTTTGATCTCCACCTTCAATAATGAATGAAAGGATACCATTCGTCAATCACTTCAAAAACCACGTAGCCCACAATGCCCAAGGTCAGGACAGTGGCAGCTGTCAGAGGGGATGATGGCTCGCACAGACAGGTGTGTGGACGGGTCCCGGGGACAGGCACACAAAAAAAAAAAAACACCTAAAAGATTAGCTGATAAAGAATTTAGCAAAACAGGGAAGTGAGAAAGAAGACTGTGAGACGAGAAGCACCGTGGAAAATACAATTTCGAGACATTTAAAATCACTGCCTGGCAGACAACTGACAGAACAAGAGGGAAGGTGGGAGTTTAAGCAATACTGTATTTACTCTCTCTGAGGTCCATATGTACTCTTGAAGATCACACAAAGCTAACTCAGTTGGTTCTCTTTATCTCTGTGTGTGTGTGTGTGTGTAAATACTAGTTTGTTTTCACCTTGCAGAAAGACTGTTTTTAATGAGAGGATGTAAAATAGAGGCAGCGGAAGGGGGAGTCTGGGGGGCTGAAATGAAAACATGAGTAACACATAGGAATAATTATTGTGTGCAAGTTTGTGTGTGTCATTCAAAAAGTATCGAGGTGTGTTCACAGTGTACACAACTTTCTTCAGAGATAGAAGAGGCGGTTTTCTCAGCGGGGGGTGGGGGGGTACTAATTTCTCTTTCATCCTATATTCTCTCATTCACCTCTTCTCTCTTCCTGTCCGCCTGTCTGCTCATCAGGAGATAGGAGCTGACAGAGTTGTTTGTGTGTGTGTGTGTGTGTGTGTGTGTGTGTGTGTGTGTGTGTGTGTGTGTGTGTGTTTACAAGTGTATGTTGACAGAGATTGACCCTTGAGTCATGTTTTCAGACAGATCACATGAGTGCACCGTGTTTGTGAAATCTCTCAGTATTAGTGTGGATCTGGGTCAAGTGTGTGTGTGTGTGTGTGTGTGTGTGTGTGTGTGTGTGTGTGTGTGTGTGTGTGTGTGTGTGTGTGTGTGTGTGTGTGTGTGTGTGTGTGTGTGAACCCCGTTGGCTGTGAAGTGAAAGTGGTGCTGTGATGGTGTACGACAGGTTCAGGAACAAACTGGTAATGCCCACACCCACCATGACACAGTTGTACAGGTGGCATGCACACTTTCCGGACTATTTGTGTGTGTGTGTGTGTGTGTGTGTGTGTGTGTGTGTGTGTGTGTGTGTGTGTGTGTGTGTGTGTGTGTGTGTGTGTGTGTGTGTGTGTGTGTGTGTGTGTGTGTGTGTGTGTGTGTGTGTGTGTGTGTGTGTAAATACTAGTTTGTTTTCACCTTGCAGAAAGACTGTTTTTAATGAGAGGATGTAAAATAGAGGCAGCGGAAGGGGGAGTCTGGGGGGCTGAAATGAAAACATGAGTAACACATAGGAATAATTATTGTGTGCAAGTTTGTGTGTGTCATTCAAAAAGTATCGAGGTGTGTTCACAGTGTACACAACTTTCTTCAGAGATAGAAGAGGCGGTTTTCTCAGCGGGGGGTGGGGGGGTACTAATTTCTCTTTCATCCTATATTCTCTCATTCACCTCTTCTCTCTTCCTGTCCGCCTGTCTGCTCATCAGGAGATAGGAGCTGACAGAGTTGTTT